ACGTATAGAGACCCCCTCTTGTCAGCTGGGTTCAATACCTTAACGCCGTTTAGGCCGTATAGAGACCCCCCTCTTGTCAGCTGAGTTCTATACCTTAACGCCGTTTAGGACGTATAGAGACCCTGTCTTGTCAGCTGGGTTCAATACCTTAACGTGTTTAGGCACCCCCGTCGGCTAGGTTCTATACCTTAACGCCGTTTAGGCCGTATAGAGACCCCCTCTTGTCGGCTAGGTTCTATACCTTAACGTGTTTAGGCCGTATAGAGACCCCCTCTTGTCGGCTAGGTTCTATACCTTAACGTGTTTAGGCCGTATAGAGACCCCCCTCTTGTCAGCTGAGTTCTATACCTTAACGCCGTTTAGGACGTATAGAGACCCTGTCTTGTCAGCTGGGTTCAATACCTTAACGTGTTTAGGCACCCCCGTCGGCTAGGTTCTATACCTTAACGCCGTTTAGGCCGTATAGAGACCCCCTCTTGTCGGCTAGGTTCTATACCTTAACGTGTTTAGGCCGTATAGAGACCCCCTCTTGTCGGCTAGGTTCTATACCTTAACGTGTTTAGGCCGTATAGAGACCCCCCTCTTGTCAGCTGGGTTCTCTACCTTAACGCCGTTTAGGACGTATAGAGACCCCCTCTTGTCAGCTGGGTTCAATACCTTAACGCCGTTTAGGCCGTATAGAGACCCCCCTCTTGTCAGCTGGGTTCTATACCTTAACGCCGTTTAGGACGTATAGAGACCCCCTCTTGTCAGCTGGGTTCAATACCTTAACGCCGTTTAGGCCGTATAGAGACCCCCTCTTGTCAGCTGGATTCTATACCTTAACGCCGTTTAGGCCGTATAGAGACCCCCTCTTGTCAGCTGGGTTCAATACCTTAACGCCGTTTAGGCCGTATAGAGACCCCCTCTTGTCAGCTGGGTTCAGTACCTTAACGTGTTTAGGCCGTATAGAGACCCCTTATGTCGTCTGGGTTCAATACCTTAACGTCGCTTAGAGACCCGTATTGTCAGCTGTTTTCATCGACTTACTGCCGTTTAGAACTGCTGACCAGCACTAGTACTTGTTGTCGCCGGTTGTTTACAGGTTTCTCGACTTTTAATAAGGCGCTGTCTCATCGCCGTTCTGTTGGTGTTACATGTTAGTGTTGCCATCACCATGTCGTATATTGGAAGTTCATGTTGGTGACTGCCGAACACTAACTGTCTAGTAAGGTTTACTGCTGGTTTACAAGCGTAGGCAAGAGTAAGGATTTCTATCTAGAAGCTGGTGTATTTCACTGTGTATTTCTTTGTAGTGTAGCGTCATACGGTATATCACATCCAGAACTTGTCGCAGGAACGCAACAGAAAATGTTCTTTTAACAATATCTATAACAATATTTGAATTTTTAACAATTCAACAGTATTGGGACAAGGGATAAAACAGTTAGGTCTTCATTGATTTTAATTGTAACATACATGGCTTTTGAAATGAAAAAAAAAATCTAGATTAAAATGACACTTAAACTTTGTAAGTTTGCTTCATCATAGAATGCCAGCCGAGTTTATATTGAGGTTATTACCCGACAAAGATTACATTTTATAAACGTCGTTTAATGAACTCTCTGACTTATTGGTTTTCCCTTAGATATCATCGGAATTACACAGTTTACCAATAATAATAAGTAGCCACCCACGTACATACCACGTGACGTTTTAATTAAATTTGAATTAATGATTTAAATCAATAGAACAGTTACTCATGGAACGACACGGAGTGCCAAACATGACTAATACATCTATACTGTGTGTTTATATAGACAGTGCAGTACGTTTACCGGAAATAGTCACACAAATTGATTAAAATCGCGCTGCGTTTTTATTATTTTCATCATTCATTCAAACAAATACTTTCGTACTCATCTTAATCTTCCCGCTGTTTGTTTTTTTATGTAAAACTTTCTAACTAAATGACAGTTTCAGATCACAAGTCTAAATAATCCAGACAGCCATTGTACGATCTTTTTACTGAGAAAATCGTTGATATCAATTGCAGAATCCCGTATATCACGCGTGAAGATATATTCTACACCTTTAAACAGATGAGATAAAAAGTCCGATGTAAAAAGATTTGAAAATTTATATAACATTCCTGGACTGTGAGGTTGTCACCGTCGATATGTATAAATGCACTGCTTCATTTTAACGATATATACGCCATCTTGCATTTAAAACAACTGATATTCAGTAAGATGTTTTTCGCTGGTAGAGGCAGGTCGGAAACTTGAAAGTGTCCTTATGATGATTATAAAATAGGTTATGCCAGCTTATATTAATCTCTCTTGGTGCCCTTGTTGGGGATGTCTGAATATGGGAGGAATATTCACGTCCGATCAGGGAGTATAATTCCGGTTGTCGATCGAAGTAAAACCTTGTGTGTGTGTTTATTTAGTAACCTTTATGACCACGTGGCGTTTGTAAACAGGAACAACAAAGAAAGTACCGAGATACATAATATTTGTTCAAACTCAGATTCGGTGAATTCATGAAAATCTTGCAAAAATTCAATATTGACACGAAGACCCTTAAACGTACAAGGAGAAAAAGGTCACATGTTCCGGAAGGGTTAGCGTCTTTTGTTTTCATCAACATCCATGTAATGTCGGTTTCAATAAAAAAAAAACAAGGCTCAGGCATACTACCGAGTATTAAATACGTCCAACTACATCTCGTACAACGGAAAAGAAGAATATTTCCCAATGATATCATGACGACTGGAAAAAACTTCCCCATAATGTACATCAACCTGCACCTCGGCCAGTTATCGGCATCATGTATGGACATTTTGATACAAGCCCTTGGATATCGAGTCAACTGCAATGGTGCAATCACAAGCACCATGGTTTAGGGATGTTGCTATCTAGATATGGAAAATTCACGATAGGGAAATCAAAATCATCATGCTTACACAGCATGATGGAAAGTTGTCACTTGGTGTAGTTTCTTGGAAAAAATCGAGGTAAGCATTGTTATAGAGAGTTGTGTATTTGTTTTTCACTTCTGGTAAGTATGATTGACTTTGTTGAGGAGTTTCTTGATGTGAAAAAGCCAGACATCATCCGAATATCTAAAACTGAAATTGAACGACCTGAAAAGGACTTTGTGGTGTTTTGATGAGCTCCTCGATAATTTAGTCTCATATGAAAACTAACAACAGTCGGCCAGGAGAGAGGCGTAGTTTGTTTCTGTTGGGCATGCCAAAAGTCTGTTCGAAGATTGATCACTGAACTCGACCAAGATATTGCCAACCAGAAATCCAATTGTTTTGACGATTTCTTCCTCCGTCTTATTTGATTCGGACTTGTGTTCCCACGAAATACGCTCTGGACCGCCACATATGTGTTTTTGAAAAGAAGACAACCATAACGTGAAAACGAAGGTTTGTTCTTTTCGATTGGTATGGAATTTGGTTGTGTAGATATAGAAGAAATGATTTTTAGAAGTTGATCGTCAAGATTAGTCAAAAGGTCTTTGAAATTTCTAAAATTCTCTTCTAAAGAACCTGATTTCATATGAGAAATTGGCATTAAGTAGCTCTGTCAAAGGTTTGATTGAGCAAATTGGACGAGTCAGCAATAAAACGCTGTTTTGTAGGAGATCATTTTTATAACGTTGAACAGGATTACATCTTCAGTTACCGGGTTTCGGATTAAGTTTGCAGGGAGTTCCGACTCCGTGAACTGACGAAGAACTACCAAAGAAAGCATCGACAGAAAAAGATGTCGAAACATGTATGGTTCGCTTTATAGAGAAAATAACAACATCTAGAATAAAACTACAGCTGTTTATTTAAATCGATATCAGACATATCTTCAAATATGAAGATTTAGACATTCAAGACCAGAACTATCACAAGAAACTGCCTCCTTCCAATCCGTGTATTAAACTAGGTGTAATTTTCAGACACTCCTCTGAGTACCTCAACACAATAAAAGAAAAGTTTTATTGTTTATTTAGAAATGTGTATTGTTTGTCAACATTGTGGGGAAGTATAGATGGAATTGTGTAGACATGTTAGATCGGTGTATCGGAGGTTACAATGGAACGGGAGTTGGTTTTACGTGTTACATTCGACGTATTATCAGCCACAATGTCAATTCTTCTTAAGTAGAATAAACAAAAGGTTTTGGGAGTATTTAAATACCAATTTTACGATCAATTCTACACAAGTCTGGGTATTGCTTGTGTATTGGGTGATCGGCTAACCATATGTATAAGGCGGGGGATATCGAAATATTTACTCACATTGTTGTGTTAGTGTTGTACAGTGTTAAGTATCGGGGGTTTTCGGGAGGACTGCATTATCGGAGGCGACCTGCTCCGAGAGAGAGAGTGCGTGCTGGAGACTATATCGATCTGGTCCATTGAAATGTAGTAATTTATGAAAAATTATGCGTTTTCGAATTGACTCATCGCTATCACAGCGATACCGGCGGAGTCTGGACAAAGAGACAGGCACGTGCTAACAGGCTCTGTAAAACGTTAAGGTAGGGGGCCTGCACGTGAAGACAATCTCGAATAAACAAGGTAAGAATTTAAATTTATTTGTCAACATCATATCTTTTATATGTGTCTGTATATAAATGTACTGTCGTGTAAGAGACCTTGTCGAGTGGTTAACGGTCAGTGACTGGGATAGGATTAAGAATTACTGAGTAGGGTGTAACGCCATTAAGCTGGATATAGGACTTTACAGGGTGTGTTTAGCTCTGACGTTATTTGTCAAATCGACACAAGCTTCAATTGTTATGACTTTGTGAATGTACATTGACGAGCAGCTGATCTAATCGAGACATGTTATCGCTATTATCGTGACAATAACAAAAAACGTCTGAGACAATATGTTGGGTGTTACATACTGCTAAAAACTGCCAGAGAGTCGCACCACTTTATAACCAGGCTGGGATACCATTCCGGAGTTGACCGGTGTCTCTGACGAAATATTATTGTTGGAGTTCGTAATGGGTTACGGACATGCAGATAAAGCGTGTAGGTAAGGTGTATATACCTGTTAATTGATTAGGTCCAGGTAACAATTCAACACTATTAGAAGTTTGTACACAGAATCGTACTGACTGACGAAGAGTGTCTCAATAAGATATGGATAAGTTACGTAGAGAGGTACGTATTGTAGAATAAAAACGGAAATTAATGATTTATAAGTTCCATTTATAAAATAGTTCGACAGCTTCCAATCTTAATTACAGTATAAACAAACCGTTCATTAATAATGAGGTGTCAGGTGTTGGACATGGCTGAGAAGGAACGACAATATTGTGTAGTTACATAAAGGTATAATGTACATCAACACAAGGTTTTATATGTTCACTGAACTCGTTATGTTGTAAGCGACAATGACATGCTGTTGTTGAACTGGTGATATTTGAGGGACAACACTGGCATTGGTTTTTAACAAAATGGTTGTTTTTTTATGGAAATTGAATTGATGAGTATTGTCTAAGGAGTCATTATAATGGGTAGTTCATTATAACACCAATGATAAAGGAGACAGAAAATTGGTTTTAACTTAACAATACTCGGGTCTTATCTAGGAGATAAATTAAATACCCGAGCTTATTATTAAATCTCAGTGTCTGGTTGTTAGAGATTTGGCGGTATTACAAATGGAACGAGCTATCGACTGTTTGTGGAGACCTATATACCATGTGAGGAAGCTTTATGTCTGGTGGAATTAACTTCCGCTACAGGCATGAATACTGGAATAAAAGTATGACAGGGGATGAAACCTAAGTGATGAACATTATGGATATTTAACGTCGATGTGTGTATTGTTGACGAAAACGTTCACAGTGGACGACGATTGGGGATGATGAAGATGATGGATTGTCGCTAATTGGAAGTATCCATATATGGTAGGAAAAGCTCGCGTGGAACAATATTGGATTCTAAGGATAAGAAAATTCTACGTGAGGAAATCAGAACAAATACCATCCAGCCAACCGACAAACAAGTGAGGTTTATGATAGAATATCGACTATCAATTAGTGAAGCGATAATTACTTATATATATATATATATATATATATGCCTGTTGAGGGATTTTTTGTCCTACTCTTTGTATGAGTAGTGATGTCAGCTATTCTTACATTGCCAATTCCATTCTCTGAATATTACGGCCACCATAGTTCCAAAGTTCACATTTAAAGTTCTGGAGATAAATATAAATATATAGTGCCCGGCCAGCAGGTGTAATTCTGTATTTGTGGGATTAGGACCACACCTTCCTGATAACACACCTGTCAGATCTAGAGGGACCACACTAGAAGAGTTTTGTGTGTACATGTGACCCTAATCAGCTAATGCTCTGAATCGATCATTTGATTGGGATCGATTTCAAGAATCATATCGATTTTCTGTTGATATACCATGTCCTCGTTATAGATAGTGTAGACACAATCTAGTGTAATAGTATGGGTTTAAATTTTGTTTATTTAAACTCTGGATTTTATAGAGTAACAAATCAGTGTATAGTGCCTGGATGAAAAACGTCGTGGACTTTAAACCGCTGAATGGTACATATGTGAAGTACTGTTGAAATCAATATGTTCTATACATATATTTATTTGGTATTAGATTCGTGTTAGTGACCACTCTGTCATTTTTGACCACTAAATGTTAAATTAATTATTTCATGATCCCGTGCCTGGGTATCAAAGCGTCGTTACCTACTTATATACCATATATGGTAAAACTTACCTGTATATCATTAATTAATTAGGGACCATTTGATTGCACGGTGTTCTGTCGGCCTGGTAGACAAATGAGCAAGGGCGAATTGAATTTTCGCCCTCGGTAAGTATATTTCTACCAGGTTGATAAAACACCATATTGACCGAAATGAAAGACCCTTAATTTCCGTACCGATAATACTATTGATTTGTATATACAGGTATTATGAAATTACTTGTGAATCATTAGATGTTTATGTTATCCAAAATTATATGTCATACTGGTGTAGTAGTACCTCTATATCCTACCTGTATGTCTTACCTGTATATCCTATCTGTATATCTTACCTGTATATCCTACCTGTATATCCTACCTGTATATCTTACCTGTATATCTTACCTGTATATCCTACCTGTGTATCCTACCTGTATATCCTACCTGTATATCCTACCTGTATATCCTACCTGTATATCCTACCTGTATATCTTACCTGTATATCTTACCTGTATATCCTACCTGTGTATCCTACCTGTGTATCCTACCTGTATATCCTACCTGTATATCCTACCTGTATATCTTACCTGTATATCCTACCTGTATATCGTACCTGTATGTCTTACCTGTATATCCTACCTGTTTATCCTACCTGTATATCTTACCTGTATATCCTACCTGTATATCTTACCTGTATATCCTACCTGTATGTCTTACCTGTATATCCTACCTGTATATCCCTATGTCCTGTATACCTCCTACCTGTATATCCCTGTATATCCTACCTGTATATCTTACCTATATCCTGTATATCCTACCTGTATATCCTACCTGTATAACATACCTGTATATCCTACCTGTATATCATACCTGTATATCCTACCTGTATATCTTACCTACCTGTATACCTGTATATCCTGTATATCCTACCTGTGTATCCTACCTGTATATCCTACCTGTATATCCTACCTGTATATCCTACCTGTATATCCTACCTGTATATCTTACCTGTATATCCTACCTGTATATCCTACCTGTATATCTTACCTGTATATCCTACCTGTATATCCTACCTGTATATCTTACCTGTATATCCTACCTGTATATCTTACCTGTATATCCTACCTGTATATCTTACCTGTATATCCTAGCCGTATATATTACCTGTATATCTTACCTGTATATCCTACCTGTGTATCCTACCTGTATATCTTACCTGTATATCCTACCTGTATATCTTACCTGTATATCCTACCTGTATATCCTACCTGTATATCCTACCTGTATATCCTACCTGTATATCCTACCTGTATATCATACCTGTATATCCTACCTGTATTTTATACCGGTATGTCATACTTGTATCAGTTTAATTTACCTGTATACAATACCTTTATCATTTATTGGTATATTCAGTAATGTATATTGTACAGATGTAGACATCAGTGACAATGTTTTCATCAATCGGTTTATTTTTTTAAGTAAGGTATATCCAACATGAGAGATAGACATGTCAAGTCCCGTTCTGATTTTAATTAACACACAGGTGTGTGGCTTGACGCTAGTTTATCATCAGTGTTCGGCTAAGCCTGTAAGATCTTTATAATGTCTATATTGTGAGAAAGACCCGTGCCGTAAACTGAACGTATGTACATATGGTATACCTAACATTGACAAAGAAACGCTCCTGTCAAACTCAACAGTGACCTAACTCTTTAGATGTGTGTGTGATTGACAACAAGTACCTGCCATCTATCGACAATCTATGATCAACATTACAGGTGGAATGACGATGTTGACAAATTCCGGATTTACGATCTGATTTTTTATGATCCATCCTAGATAAAAGCATGGACATTGCTGATGATGGAATCGGCAGATATTTCTTGACATTCTGATCACTGAACAGTCAGCGAGTCGTTGTCGGGATGGTGTTGCTGTGACAATACTTCTAGGTGGAGTTTCATTGATCACTGGTCAAGGTAATCAAGGAACAAACATGTTCTTAACATTTATAAAGACACACCGGACAATACATAAACTCATCACTAACCTTTTATATACTATACAGGTAACACAGGCGGTCGGATACTTATACTGATTCAGGATTTCATTACTTTCGATTCACACCGGATATAGAATTCTTTAACAATTATCGGTACTGGATATATTATATTTACCTGGTAACCTATCTGGACTGTGATGTAGGATCCTTGAACAACTAGCCTATCCACATTGAATATAGGATCCTTTGACTACAAGCCTATCCGCTTTGGATACAGGATTTTTGACAACTAGTCTAACGCTTGGATACAGGATTTTTGACAACTAGCCTATCAGCACATGATATAGGATCCTTTGACGGCTAGCCTATTCGTACTTGATATAGGATCATTTGACGGCTAGCCTATCAGCACTGGATATAGGATCATTTGACAGCTAGCCTATTCGTACTTGATATAGGATCCTTTGACGGCTAGCCTATCAGCAATGGATATAGGATCCTTTGACGGCTAGCCTATTCGTACTTGATATAGGATCCTTTGACGGCTAGCCTATTCGTACTTGATATAGGATCCTGTGACGGCTAGCCTATTCGTACTTGATAAAGGATCATTTGACGGCTAGCCTATCAGCACATGATATAGGATCATTTGACGGCTAGCCTATTCGTACTTGATATAGGATCCTTTGACGGCTAGCCTATTCGTACTTGATATAGGATCATTTGACGGCTAGCCTATCAGCACATGATATAGGATCATTTGACGGCTAGCCTATCAGCACATGATATAGGATCACTTGACGGCTAGCCTATTCGTACTGGATATAGGATCCTTTGACGGCTAGCCTATCAGCACTGGATATCGCTACTATTCGATATATAGGATCCTTTGACGGCTAGCCTATCAGCAATGGATATAGGATCCTTTGACGGCTAGCCTATTCGTACTGATATAGGATCCTTTGACGGCTAGCCTATTCGTACTTGATATAGGATCCTGTGACTAGCCTATTCGTATTGATAAAGGATCATTTGACGGCTAGCCTATCAGCACATGATATAGGATCATTTGACGGCTAGCCTATTCGTACTTGATATAGGATCCTTTGACGGCTAGCCTATTCGTACTTGATATAGGATCATTTGACGGCTAGCCTATCAGCACTTGATATAGGATCATTTGACGGCTAGCCTATCAGCACATGATATAGGATCCTTTGACGGCTAGCCTATTCGTACTGGATATAGGATCATTTGACGGTTAGCCTATTCGTACTTGATATAGGATCCTTTGACGGCTAGCCTATTCGTACTTGATATAGGATCATTTGACGGCTAGCCTATCAGCACATGATATAGGATCATTTGACGGTTAGCCTATTCGTACTGGATATAGGATCATTTGACGGCTAGCCTATCAGCACTGGCTATAGGATCACTTGACGGCTAGCCTATCAGCAATGGATATAGGATCCTTTGACGGCTAGCCTATTCGTACTGGATATAGGATCCTTTGACGGCTAGCCTATTCGTACTTGATATAGGATCATTTGACGGCTAGCCTATTCGTACTTGATATAGGATCCTTTGACGGCTAGCCTATCAGCAATGGATATAGGATCCTTTGACGGCTAGCCTATTCGTACTGGATATAGGATCCTTTGACGGCTAGCCTATTCGTACTTGATATAGGATCCTTTGACGGCTAGCCTATTCGTACTTGATATAGGATCATTTGACGGCTAGCCTATCAGCACTTAATATAGGATCATTTGACGGCTAGCCTATTCGTACTTGATATAGGATCCTTTGACGGCTAGCCTATTCGTACTTGATATAGGATCCTTTGACGGCTAGCCTATTCGTACTGGATATAGGATCCTTTGACGGCTAGCCTATCAGCACTTAATATAGGATCACTTGACGGCTAGCCTATTCGTACTTGATATAGGATCCTTTGACGGCTAGCCTATCAGCACTTGATATAGGATCATTTGACGGCTAGCCTATCAGCACTGGATATAGGATCATTTGACGGCTAGCCTATCAGCACTTGATATAGGATCATTTGACGGTTAGCCTATTCGTACTTGATATAGGATCATTTGACTAATAACCTATCCACGCTAGATTTATTATTTCGTTAGACTACTAACTGTGAAGAGGGCACATTCAATATTCTACTTACATCCTGTGGTTGTTTTCGACATTTAGTGGTTTACGAGGTTAGTCGGACATTTTTTATAATTAGATAAATATTGCTTATGGTATAAGAAGTTATCGAGGTCGGTCGTTGCCGGTTATGCGCGTATAATGAGTTTGTGAGATTAGCCGGTTCCAGTTGTACTTGTATAATGAGTTAGCGAGTACGAGTTTGCTGTTTCCAGTTGTACTTGTATAATGAGTTAGCGAGTTAGTCGTTACCAGTTGTACTTGTATAATGAGTTAGCGAGTACGAGTTAGTCGTTACCAGTTGTACTTGTATAATGAGTTAGCGAGTTAGTCGTTACCAGTTGTACTTGTATAATGAGTTAGCGAGTGAGTCGTTTCCTGTAAACTTGTATAATGAGTTAGCGAGTTAGCCGGTTCCAGTTGTACTTGTATAATGAGTTAGCGAGTTAGTCGTTACCAGTTGTACTTGTATAATGAGTTAGCGAGTTAGTCGTTACCAGTTGTACTTGTATAATGAGTTAGCGAGTTAGTCGTTTCCTGTAAACTTGTATAATGAGTTAGCGAGTTAGTCGTTTCCTGTAAACTTGTATAATGAGTTAGCGAGTTAGTCGTTACCAGTTGTACTTGTATAATGAGTTAGCGAGTTAGTCGTTACCAGTTGTACTTGTATAATGAGTTAGCGAGTTAGTCGTTACTAGTTGTACTTGTATAATGAGTTAGCGAGTTAGTCGTTACCAGTTGTACTTGTATAATGAGTTAGCGAGTTAGTCGTTACCAGTTGTACTTGTATAATGAGTTAGCGAGTTAGTCGTTACCATTTGTACTTGTATAATGAGTTAGCGAGTTAGTCGTTACCAGTTGTACTTGTATAATGAGTTAGCGAGTGCGAGTTAGCCGTTTCCAGTTATACTTGTATAATGAGTTAACGAGTTAGCCGGTTCCAGTTGTACTTGTATAATGAGTTAGCGAGTGAGCCGGTTCCAGTTGTACTTGTATAATGAGTTAGCGAGTTTGTCGTTTCCTGTAAACTTGTATAATGAGTTAGCGAGTTAGTCGTTACCAGTTGTACTTGTATAATGAGTTAGCGAGTTAGCCGGTTCCAGTTGTACTCAAGTCCGCGGTTGTACAGATAACCTATAGTTACTTAATGTTTTAAAAGAGGTAAGAAAACCACTTTGTCTGTGTTAGTTGTGTATATATATATTGTTGTTGTTTTTTTTGTGACGACATAAGTAAAATGGATGTAACAAGTTACTAGTCATTGTGGGTTTTTATAGACTTGTTCACGAACGAATATACCTAACAGTGAAGTCAGACAAATGAGTTCATGCATTTTAATGCATTAAGGCCGTTGTTGGAAATCGATCTTGGAGTTTTAGCGATGATGTTGTTTACAACACCCCTTCTAGACTCACGACGCCCCGGGACAACCAGACGAACAATTACACTCTTCCATTACATATACAATGCAACTCTGGATGGAAGTAGTTCACATGTCAGACGGAGATCTCGTTTAAACCCGCGATAAATTGCCCTGGTCACGTGTACCCCGTTCCCGGACGGGAGTGTGTCAGGACTAGGGAGTGACAGACCGCCGATCCGCGACGTCAAGATCGTCGGATTTTCGGACTTTAAGGAATATTTATGACTTTATTGGGAGATTAATGACTGAAGAGGGAGAGGCGGGCATTGGACATATCTGATACATAATGATATTATTAAACGAGAACGCATGCCTCCCATATGCAGTTTAATTAATCGTTCCTCAAAATTGCGATATTATCGATGTAGTGGTCGTCATGAGGGCACCCTAGTGTTGTAACCCATCATTATAAATAGCAACCGTGAAAATGATGTCATTGCTCTTGATTTCTATCAATAAAAATCAGTTGAATGCGAAATCTCAAAGAATATTATTTGAAAATCACTTGACAATATTTTCTTTTTTTGGCAGATCCAGACAAAAAAGCATTATGATAGAGAACGGATTTGAAGAGCACTTTGCCTACTCAGAAGACAGAGGACGAAATGTACGTGCTTCATCAAGAAGTGGACGAACGAGCCCGGCGCACAGCGCCCACGGGAGCCTAATTCGGCATAGTCTGATGAAGGTTACTGACGACAAGCGCGCCATGAAGGTCCGATTCTATCGGAACGGAGACAAATTTTTCAAAGGAATTGTGTACGCTGTGTCATGTGAGCGCTTTCGGACGCTAGACTCATTACTAGTTGATCTAACCGATAGTCCGGTGTGCGACCGGAATGTCCTTCCCAACGGGGTCCGACACATCTTTTCTGCTGACGGAAGTCATAAAGTGACTCGTCTCGACCAACTGGAGGAAGGCGAGAGTTATGTGTGCGCCTCAACAGATCTTTTCAAACGTCTAGATTATACAAAAAGCGCTAGCCCCAATTGGAACGTAAATGTTCGCGCCAAAGATGACGATTCTGCCATTTCCGGTGCGATGCGCGAGTCACTTACGGAAGACATGAAGGATTATATTAAACCCAAACTGGTCACAATTGTCAGGAACGGGTCAAAACCCCGCAAGGCTGTGCGTGTGCTCCTTAACCGGAAGACAGCACATTCGTTTGACCAAGTCATGGATGACATCACAGAGGCTATTAAACTCGATTCAGGTGCAGTTCGCAAAGTTTTCACATTGGACGGGAAGCAGGTAAATCATTTCGCTTTATTGAATATTTTGAATGAAATATAATAACTTCTGTCATTTATGTTGGAAACTGTCTTCCTTTATTGGGTTCCCTGGTAAGAATCCACTCTTTTTCAGTACGAGTTTAAGTGTTGTAATCTTGGGTCAGTCGGTAAACAAGTGACATCACTCCCCTATGGTAGTTACTGGTGGGAATGTTACGAGTTTACTATGATTTGCTAGATAGAAATCTAGATACAGCCAGGAACATACCAGTCCGTCATTACGAGTATCTCCATATTTCGATTTGTTTTAGGTTCATTAGAAATATTATCATTATACTTGTTTTCCTGATAAGGCAAACATTGGCAACAGGCATCCCAAGATCCCTTATATTCCATAGCGAAATAGCTGACAATAGCCGCTAGGTTTTTCGTCTCGGGTTTCCGGAAGTAAAGAGAACCCATGGCAACGCATTAGAGATAGAAATACGACACGTACTTTTCCTGTCTGAGACATGGTCGCTATCAAGAGTTGGTTTCCCTTGAAGGCCACCTAACACCTGTCGAACTGTTGGGTTACGTAATGCGCATGCGTGTACATTGTGCGTGTTCACTAAGGAAACCGCAGATGTGACTGCTAGATTTGTCGGATAAGACTAGAGAATGCCACTTTAAGCGGGTTTAGAGTATACATCTCAGTATTGATTTCTCATTTTGCCGACAATACTAGCTGATTAACAGTCCTACTTCAGGTGACAAATCCTCATCAACGCCACAGTGAAATACACGTCTATACAAAAACCGCATATTTTTAAATCAGCTCATAAACAAAGCTTTGTTTCAGTCCTCGGTCTGTTTAGGAAGCCTCGACACGTAAACCAATCATTTTCACATTATTGATTTCGCCATGAACTGTTAAAGAATTTAAATAATTGAGAACGAAAACATGTTTAAATGTGAACGCATTTTACATATTAAACATTGTACTATTGATTAAATATAGATGTCGTTAATATTATTTCTGTGAAGTGCTTTGAAATTATTGATTTGAACATGAACATTTTTTTTCAAAGCTTTAAGGCATTCTTTACATGGCGTTGGATGTTTGGAATAAAATTAATGTATTTTACTTGGCTATTATTTGTATTGTATACTACAGCCGTAAATCATGTTAGCATGTCACCGAAGACAAACACCCAAATTCAATTCTGCTATATCAGGTGCTTTAATTTTGTTAACGTATGACCTTTGAACATTAATACAGATTACCTTCAATACTACAGTACCTAAACGCTCAATTACCGTGGCGCGGGGTCCCTTAAACGTTCCTTCACACTGCCCAGGAAACAAGTCAATGCCCCTGGAAGAAGGTGCCTCTCCTACCTGGGATCAGTATACAAGGGAATGTACACTCAGTGTATCGGGCTTCAACGCTCACTCGGGTTACCAGACAAATATCTTATCTAAGTTATTGGGATGACCTTGGGTGTGCTGAGATGCCTTTGAGAGGGAAACCGAGCTCGGCCATTTGTTCTCATCAGACACTTCTTTATATCTCAGCGCCCTGGTTACCTTGACATGGTATTTACGTCGTTTTGTCTGCCGTATCCTTGGTTATCACCCTACTGTGTCTCATTAGTAGTTACGTAACACAACATCGCGTGTCCTTGAACGGCCAAGCACTATACTACTGAAACGTGGGGTGGGTGTGTCACGATTTCTTACTTTGAATCTCTTTTGTCAACACCGGAAGTTGCTCGGACATGATCAATAATCGCCTCCGCTCTGTCACAAATTAAAGATTACAAACATATCTGGACTCAGATTGGTCACGATCGTTCAAATTTTGTCACAATAAGTTCATCTCGGTTACAGTCATCTTGGGTCAGCCACGGTTGTAGCAGTTTTGTCACAATCGCACGGCACGGTGGTGATTAATTCAACTATGCCTCAATCGTTTCAACTCGGTTAAAATCGTGTTAGCTCAATCGTGTCTGCTCGGTTGTTATCGTATTAGTTCCGTCACCTTCGTCAAAGCTCGACTTAATCCGTTGTCATGTCTCGTATCGATCCCATACAGAATACGGCAAGGTAATTTTACAGGATGACGACACAATACTTGGTACACACTTAATGCTATTTTATTAAAAAAATGTAATTATTTTCTTAGAACAGCTTACCGGAAGCCAGATCGATGTTATCACATTACTTCCGCGCGGCGGAAGACCTGGTTGGATAAAAGCATAGCGGGAATTTCGACTTGCTTTTTAATCCATTCAGTGAATTCATAATATCTACCGAACGTAGTTAATAAAAATGCAATTTTGGGAATTACCCGAAAAGTCACACGAATTGTTAGAATTGCGACTATGTTAGCGAATCCGTGAACGTATCATGACATACAAAAAGCTTTGTTACCATGGTAACAGAATTGCGCTTCTGGGAATATATCACCGGAGGCAAAATGTCAAGAGAACATTATGGGATATAATTTCGGTCTCTTTAGGAACGTTGACGGTCACGTGACAATTTTGGTAGGCATTTTATCTCTAGTTATTGAGTGTTGGATGTTTTATATTGAGGATGTAGATAAAGTGTGTGTTGTATGGCATTACTGTGGTGTACCCCTTTACCCTGTTGTGTTTTACCGGCTCGTAAACTACCAACAGAACATGAATATAACAAGTAAATAGATTGTCGCTTCTTGTCACAACAAATAACAAATAACAAATATAAGTATTGTACTGGAGAAAGATAAATTTAACCGTATTTATCAAATATATTGTGAATGGCGTTTCCATATGTAATGTTCCTTCTATCTATTCCGGAACTGTTAAAACCCCGAGATATCCTAGGTCTACTCTGTATTGGAGACTAGTAGGTGTACAATATTCGCCTGCTATATTCACTCGACATGCGGGGTATCAAACTGACATTTCCTGTGGACTAAATCTCATTTGACGACAAAACGACATATCTCAGTCCTTCATGCAATATTAAGACGCAGGTGTCGGCGGGACATTGGGAATAAAAAAAGCGGTCCAATGCCCGCTCCTGAAAAGAACATGCAAATTCTATTGGAAATGCATACACATACAATGCGCTGTAGAATGATGGTGTTGAGGAAGTAATTTCCTCTGCCTTTATCCGGGTTGTAGCTCATCTCTAGCCGAACAATCGAGGTTTGGTAGCGTAATACATGTCCATCATGCCTGCTTCGTGATCTAAGTATGGTTGTCACGTAACCGCCTCTCCCTCGTCCTGGATCGATTTTGTAACCGTAACATTTATCTTGATTACAATTGTGTTTCAATAAAATTTGATTAAATGCTACAGGAAAGCGACTGTATAATGCTGTATAACGATATAATCTCACTTCTAGGACAATGTGTTAGATATTTCTTATAATTTGTGTCATTCAGTTTGTGTCGAGGTTTGTTAATAAAACCTCACTTGTTTATAGCTTGTAGAGTGTTTTAATGTAGTTTTCTGGCACTCGCCATGCAATAGGTCACGAATGAGTCGGAATTCGGTTACATCGTGCGAGTCGTCGACAAATGATTTATAACGCTAAAGAAAAAAGTTACAGTTACGATCGAAAGTTTTGTAAAGTGTATGCGTCTGCACACATCAATCGACGGTCTTACTATGGGGCGTCAGAGGGGAGATAGGATACATCGATTAATGGCTTGGTTACCGTCTGGCACACAGGGAGATATAAGTGGACAGGTGTTTTGGTAACCATCTTGGATAGAGGGGAAACAGAAGGTACACGGACTATTGTCATGGTTACCATTGGGGTCAGGGAGGGATAGAAGGTACACGGACTGTTGTCATGGTTACCATTGGGGTCAGGGCGCGATAGAAGGTACACAGACTGTTGTCATGGTTACCATTAGGGTCAGGGAGGGATAGAAGGTACACGGACTATTGTCTCGGTAATCTTGAGGGACAGTAGGGGTATAGATGATAAATTAATTCGTGTCTTATGAACGGATGTAAAAGTGGGAGAAAGCACAGTAAAAACGATGACGTTAAAGAGTGAAAAAAATGTAAAACCAGCCATGGAGACCAAGTTCAAACCAGAAGCGGTGCTCGGCGTATATACATAACGTATTTTACCGCTACGGATTTCGTGTTTGAGATGGTGGTCTTTTGTCGCTGGTATTTGCTTTGGCTTTCACAGTTATATGTAAACACCTATCAGTTTGACAGCTCAAGTGGGCTGTACCTGGACATATTGAGTAAGTCAGACGTGATACGGTACACCTAACACACAGACCGATAGGTATATCACACAGATCCATAACGATGTCATATTCATCCTATTCCGCTTATTTTCCTGACGAATAGAGATACATATTGTTTAAGTTTTCTCGTGTTTCCTCGGATAGGAGGAGCACCTGTGTGTTTCTTATGAAGGACCCCTGAGAGTGCTGCCTCGTTCTCTGAGAATCCGACTACTTATCCTCCCAACCGTTATATTTCAACAAAATCCGTCAAGGATCGTTTGACCTCGAGTCGTGACGGAATTAAAAGAGATATGGCCCTTTTGAACATCTCGCAATTCATCGTCTTTTCGCCTTTAATGCTTACTGATACTCAAAACGAAAATGAAATGTTTTTAAACAGATTCCTAGTAAAATAACAAAATCCTTTAATCCCTTGGTCTATATATGCCGGAGAGGATATCGATGTGACAGTTTCAGGACAAAAGACAGTAATGTCAGTCTTGGCTTTAGTTTACTTACAAAGATGGCTGATATGACACGTCACTCCTTGTAACCATAGTTACAGCAGTGTCAGAAAGATCGTCTAACTCTCTCTAGATATCAAAACACAAGTAAAAAGTACATTAAAGCAAAATTTATCGCGCATGTATGATTTTCACTTCAGTATTTTAAAAAAATCCGATGACGCACACATCCACAACATATAGTGAAGCCTGTGTAATGGAATAGCATCGTTCAGCACAAGCGTGTAATGGTAGATGTCTTTTCGAGTCACATATACCCAGAATAC